GAAGCTGGAGACTGACATGAGAATGTGGAAGTGATGTAATATACACCACTTCCGCATTCTGACAGCGGAGAGGGGACCGGAGGGAGATCGTGAACCAATCTCCCGCTAATCCCCTGTCAGAGAGCCACTATGCTGGTCCCGGGCTCGCACGCATCCAAGAAGCTCCCGGCCGGCGGTGTATACACAATGGCCGGCTGGGAGGTACTTAATCTCATTTATGAACAACATTACACTAGCATCAAAAATCTGGCGCAAATATATCCCATGAGACCATATGCGAGTTCAAACACTCACAATTGCTATGATAAATTTGGAAATTCTTGAGAATTGCTTAATCAATGCATTACGCTTTAAGGGCAGGTTCACACCATTTCCCGGACCAGATCTGAACCACATCTGGTATGCAGTGCATTGCATTTTGCTGTGTTTTTGCCACGTTTTTACCATGATTTTGCCGCATTCGGGAGCTTTTTTATACAGCTTAAAGGTGCATTCCAGTGCGTTTGCATGCATTTTTGATGCGTTCCAGCGCATTTCAGACCAGAGAAAATGAAACGTGCAGTATTTGTCTGGTCTGGTCTGGTCTGGTCTGGAACGGACTGCACTGGTGTGAACAGAGGCCAGAAATTGCATAGGGATACATTAGGATTAGGGATGTCCCGATACCGATGCTAGCATCGGAATCGGGCCCGATACAGGGCATTTTGACAAGTACAAGTACTTGTCAAAATGCCCTGTATCGGGCCCGATTCCGATGCTAGCATCGGAATCGGGCCCGATACAGGGCATTTTGACAAGTACAAGTACTTGTCAAAATGCCCTGTATCGGGCCCGATTCCGATGCTAGCATCGGAATCGGGCCCGATACAGGGCATTTTGACAAGTACAAGTACTTGTCAAAATGCCCTGTATCGGGCCCGATTCCGATGCTAGCATCGGAATCGGGCCCGATACAGGGCATTTTGACAAGTACAAGTACTTGTCAAAATGCCCTGTATCGGGCCCGATTCCGATGCTAGCATCGGAATCGGGCCCGATACAGGGCATTTTGACAAGTACAAGTACTTGTCAAAATGCCCTGTATCGGGCCCGATTCCGATGCTAGCATCGGAATCGGGCCCGATACAGGGCATTTTGACAAGTACAAGTACTTGTCAAAATGCCCTGTATCGGGCCCGATTCCGATGCTAGCATCGGAATCGGGCCCGATACAGGGCATTTTGACAAGTACAAGTACTTGTCAAAATGCCCTGTATCGGGCCCGATTCCGATGCTAGCATCGGAATCGGGCCCGATACAGGGCATTTTGACAAGTACAAGTACTTGTCAAAATGCCCTGTATCGGGCCCGATTCCGATGCTAGCATCGGAATCGGGCCCGATACAGGGCATTTTGACAAGTACAAGTACTTGTCAAAATGCCCTGTATCGGGCCCGATTCCGATGCTAGCATCGGAATCGGGCCCGATACAGGGCATTTTGACAAGTACAAGTACTTGTCAAAATGCCCTGTATCGGGCCCGATTCCGATGCTAGCATCGGAATCGGGCCCGATACAGGGCATTTTGACAAGTACAAGTACTTGTCAAAATGCCCTGTATCGGGCCCGATTCCGATGCTAGCATCGGAATCGGGCCCGATACAGGGCATTTTGACAAGTACAAGTACTTGTCAAAATGCCCTGTATCGGGCCCGATTCCGATGCTAGCATCGGAATCGGGCCCGATACAGGGCATTTTGACAAGTACAAGTACTTGTCAAAATGCCCTGTATCGGGCCCGATTCCGATGCTAGCATCGGAATCGGGCCCGATACAGGGCATTTTGACAAGTACAAGTACTTGTCAAAATGCCCTGTATCGGGCCCGATTCCGATGCTAGCATCGGAATCGGGCCCGATACAGGGCATTTTGACAAGTACAAGTACTTGTCAAAATGCCCTGTATCGGGCCCGATTCCGATGCTAGCATCGGAATCGGGCCCGATACAGGGCATTTTGACAAGTACAAGTACTTGTCAAAATGCCCTGTATCGGGCCCGATTCCGATGCTAGCATCGGAATCGGGCCCGATACAGGGCATTTTGACAAGTACAAGTACTTGTCAAAATGCCCTGTATCGGGCCCGATTCCGATGCTAGCATCGGAATCGGGCCCGATACAGGGCATTTTGACAAGTACAAGTACTTGTCAAAATGCCCTGTATCGGGCCCGATTCCGATGCTAGCATCGGAATCGGGCCCGATACAGGGCATTTTGACAAGTACAAGTACTTGTCAAAATGCCCTGTATCGGGCCCGATTCCGATGCTAGCATCGGAATCGGGCCCGATACAGGGCATTTTGACAAGTACAAGTACTTGTCAAAATGCCCTGTATCGGGCCCGATTCCGATGCTAGCATCGGAATCGGGCCCGATACAGGGCATTTTGACAAGTACAAGTACTTGTCAAAATGCCCTGTATCGGGCCCGATTCCGATGCTAGCATCGGAATCGGGCCCGATACAGGGCATTTTGACAAGTACAAGTACTTGTCAAAATGCCCTGTATCGGGCCCGATTCCGATGCTAGCATCGGAATCGGGCCCGATACAGGGCATTTTGACAAGTACAAGTACTTGTCAAAATGCCCTGTATCGGGCCCGATTCCGATGCTAGCATCGGAATCGGGCCCGATACAGGGCATTTTGACAAGTACAAGTACTTGTCAAAATGCCCTGTATCGGGCCCGATTCCGATGCTAGCATCGGAATCGGGCCCGATACAGGGCATTTTGACAAGTACAAGTACTTGTCAAAATGCCCTGTATCGGGCCCGATTCCGATGCTAGCATCGGAATCGGGCCCGATACAGGGCATTTTGACAAGTACAAGTACTTGTCAAAATGCCCTGTATCGGGCCCGATTCCGATGCTAGCATCGGAATCGGGCCCGATACAGGGCATTTTGACAAGTACAAGTACTTGTCAAAATGCCCTGTATCGGGCCCGATTCCGATGCTAGCATCGGAATCGGGCCCGATACAGGGCATTTTGACAAGTACAAGTACTTGTCAAAATGCCCTGTATCGGGCCCGATTCCGATGCTAGCATCGGAATCGGGCCCGATACAGGGCATTTTGACAAGTACAAGTACTTGTCAAAATGCCCTGTATCGGGCCCGATTCCGATGCTAGCATCGGAATCGGGCCCGATACAGGGCATTTTGACAAGTACAAGTACTTGTCAAAATGCCCTGTATCGGGCCCGATTCCGATGCTAGCATCGGAATCGGGCCCGATACAGGGCATTTTGACAAGTACAAGTACTTGTCAAAATGCCCTGTATCGGGCCCGATTCCGATGCTAGCATCGGAATCGGGCCCGATACAGGGCATTTTGACAAGTACAAGTACTTGTCAAAATGCCCTGTATCGGGCCCGATTCCGATGCTAGCATCGGAATCGGGCCCGATACAGGGCATTTTGACAAGTACAAGTACTTGTCAAAATGCCCTGTATCGGGCCCGATTCCGATGCTAGCATCGGAATCGGGCCCGATACAGGGCATTTTGACAAGTACAAGTACTTGTCAAAATGCCCTGTATCGGGCCCGATTCCGATGCTAGCATCGGAATCGGGCCCGATACAGGGCATTTTGACAAGTACAAGTACTTGTCAAAATGCCCTGTATCGGGCCCGATTCCGATGCTAGCATCGGAATCGGGCCCGATACAGGGCATTTTGACAAGTACAAGTACTTGTCAAAATGCCCTGTATCGGGCCCGATTCCGATGCTAGCATCGGAATCGGGCCCGATACAGGGCATTTTGACAAGTACAAGTACTTGTCAAAATGCCCTGTATCGGGCCCGATTCCGATGCTAGCATCGGAATCGGGCCCGATACAGGGCATTTTGACAAGTACAAGTACTTGTCAAAATGCCCTGTATCGGGCCCGATTCCGATGCTAGCATCGGAATCGGGCCCGATACAGGGCATTTTGACAAGTACAAGTACTTGTCAAAATGCCCTGTATCGGGCCCGATTCCGATGCTAGCATCGGAATCGGGCCCGATACAGGGCATTTTGACAAGTACAAGTACTTGTCAAAATGCCCTGTATCGGGCCCGATTCCGATGCTAGCATCGGAATCGGGCCCGATACAGGGCATTTTGACAAGTACAAGTACTTGTCAAAATGCCCTGTATCGGGCCCGATTCCGATGCTAGCATCGGAATCGGGCCCGATACAGGGCATTTTGACAAGTACAAGTACTTGTCAAAATGCCCTGTATCGGGCCCGATTCCGATGCTAGCATCGGTATCGGGACATCCCTAATTAGGATGCATTTTGGGTTCAAGTTACTTTGGCTGCAGGAAGCCTTCGGTTCAGCCGAACCAAAGGGCTGCTCTATGGACTATTCACAATAGCCTGTACAGCAGCCTAAGGAAACAGCCGAGCAGAGCGCACATGCTTCGGCTTGGCACAGCCGAAGAAACAGCAGGAGCAGGGAAAACGGTCCCGCGAAGCTGACTGAATCCGATTGTTAAAAAATAGATAAAAACACACTGTTTTGTGGAGTTTCCCTCCCAATTCATACATGACACTTTAGGTCTGGAAAGAATTTTAAGGGGGACCCAAAGCCCAAAAAACGTGGGGTACCCCCTAGATTTCCCAACCAGAGCCTTAAAGGAGAACTATGGGGTCAGGGCTTTTCCCCATAGTTCTCCTTAGGGTAACAGGAGGACACAAACTAGCATCCTCCCGTTACCCTAAGCTTAGTAATGCGCGAGCTACAGCTCGCGCTATACTTAGACGCTGCAGCCGGAGCGGATCCTGACATCGATGTCAAGATCCGCCCAGCTGCGTGAGTGAAAGCTTGCTCTGCCTATCTAGAGGCAGAGCCAGCTGTACCCGCCCCCTACCCTGTCCGTTCCGCCAGTCAGCACTGGCGGATCGGAGCGGGGAGGGGGGAATCCAGCTCCCACCCTGTCACGGCAGAGAGCCGTGACAGGATCGAGAGGTGAGCGAACGCCAGTATCTGTTCGCTCACCTCCCGATCTACTGAGCCAACCTGTGACAGTCTCATTGTCACAGGTCGGCTAGAACTATGAAGTGAGTGGAAATCACTCATCTCATAGTTCTCCTTTAATCTGATCACTGGCATGGTAGGGCAGGAAAGGTGGACGAGTGACCGCCACCTCCCCTTCTCTGCACCATAAAAGGCCACATGCTCTTGACATTGGGAGGGTGGAAAAAACCCAACAAATGCTCCAACGATCAATCCATCATTTTTACACTGTCATTTTCACTTTGTTTGCTACCTCTGAGGTAGTGAATGGAATGATTGAGCCGAATGTTGCTCGGGTGCATTCGGCTATTCACTCTGTGCTATTCGGCCCATTTGAGTATAGGGCTGAACAGCAGAGAATGAACTGCCGAACGTTCACCTTAGCCAATCCTTATGGTGCATCGGCTGAGGTGAATGGGTTCTTCCCTTCGGTTTGGCAGAACGTGCTGAGGATGTTTGGCCGCAGCGAAGGGAGATGGAGTGAGCAGCATGCAACCGATGTACGACTAAAAATAGCTGTACAGGGCTGCAGTGAATAGCCAAACAGGCTTCAGCTCACTTCACTTCCGTTCAGTTATTCATTAGGCTGCTTTCAGCAGCTTAGTCAATATCCCAAGACTAAAACTAGTCTTAAGGTGCCCACACACTTTGCGATAATCGTACAATAATCGCAGGAAATCCCGCGATCGTACGCTAATCGCAAAGTGTGTGGAGGGCGTGCGACCTCTGCTACTGTAAGGTCGCACGACTTTTATCTTAGGAACATGTTCGAAAACCAGCCCGAACATCGTACGATTTTCGGCAGGTTTGTGCCATGTTCGCAAGATAAAAGCCGCACGGGCCGGTGTGCGCAAGTGCACACTGCCCGTTTAGCATTGCGGTCATCGGAAGCACGCCCCTCAGCGGGGCGGGCTTGCGATCATCGTACGTTTTTTAAATTACCTTACAACCATCGCAAGACAAAAGTCTTGCGATGGTTGTAAGGTCTGTGGCCAGCTTTACACAGAGAAGCCAACTAACATATAGTCAATGAAGGATAGAAATCACCACCACTCAGCAAATGAAGTTCAAAAAATAATTTGTCACATCTCTGCCCTGATGAAGGGACCCTGCGCGGTCCTGAAATGTTGGATTATGCGATATGTGTGATGTTTGGTCCAAATAAATGGATGTTATTTTTGTAACTTCATTTGCTGAGTGCTGGTGATTTCTATCTTTCATTGACTGCTGTGCACGGCACCATCCGTGATTGTCACTTCGAGCAACACGATTGTTACTTGGACCAGGAACGCTGCAGGGAGTGTAGGGGGACTTAGTTTTCTGGAAACGTAACATATAGATTTATTTTTTTTAAGAGAAAATGCTTTTAGACTTATTGAGAATTTAATGTATGTATCATTTGAAATGTATGTTACCTCTGCCTGCTGTTACATTTTCGAATTGTCTTTTCAACTTAGTCTATGCAGGATAATTAACGTAGTAACATTGCTGCAAATTATGACATAATGGTTACCACCTTTCACGTTCACAACACCAAACTAAACCATACTTCCTACCGCGGCTATACTACTAAATTCTCCTAGGAACGCCCACTACTGAAAAATACTGTAGAGTGAGTGACGTCACGTGGGGGCTGGTTCCTATTCTTTGTCTGACTTACGAATCTCTTTGTCTGCGCAAACACACTGCAGGACGGCATTTACACTACGCCTGTAGCGTCGCGCGCCATTTCAAGAAAGTGACGGTGGTTAGGTGAAGAAGACGGTGGCCATTTTGTGCTTGAGCTTTTTCGGACATCAGCTGGTCTGGGAAACTACAACCGTTTTTCTCTCATCTTCAGTTACGCATAAAAAAGGCGTAGGGATATTGATTTAATTTCCCCTATAGTGCCCAATTATTTTGGTATTACCTTTTGAAGTAATTGGGTGCTGTGCGACCAAAGAATGAGAGGAAGCTTTATGGACAGGGACCGAGGCGGGTGAGAATAATTTGCCTTTGTTTTGGTTTGAGCTCTTCGCTGTGGGAAGTGTTGACCGACGTTATAGATGCCCTCCCTCTGTATCAGGACCGGCCGATCCTTTGGCCAGTGGCCATCCTTGGTGGGATTTGAAGGTGCGCCAGCATGAAGGAGCAGCCTCTGGGGTCAGCTTTACTTATTATTAAACGATGAGCTGCAGGAGAGGGGCTGACCTTTGGACCCAAGTTTCATATTGTGTGGGTAATGAAGCAGGGAATGTTCTTCCTTGATATGGGCAACATCTCCGATTTTGCTCTAGGTTTCTTTGCACATTTAATATGTAACCTTCTTTTAAAGGCGAAGTTCACCTTTTTGAAAAAAAAACCCCACTATAAGAGGAATTTATCAATTCTGGAGCAGTGGTCTATAGTAACCAATCAGCTTCTCTTTCATTTTCAAAGCTTAAAAGAGAGCTATGGGGTAACTTTTAAAAAAAAAAAAAAAATCCCATAGTTCTCTTTAGGGTCACGGAAGGACATTAGAATATGACCCAAAGCTCAATATATATAGGGGGAGGGGAATCACTGCAGGGAACCCTGACTGACAGTCACCACTCTCTGCAGGGAGATGATCGGGAAGTGAGCGAGCGACTGTATGTGTTCATTCACTTCCCGATCAATAGAGCCGACGTGTGACAGTTTCAATGTCACGTGTCGGCTCTAACTATGAGAATGAGTGTAAATCACTCACCTCATGGTTCTCCTTTAACAGGAGAGAGAATCTGAATGGTTGCCATGAGCAGCAAAAAATGAAATACCTTATTTTAGTTAAAATAAAATACACTATTTGAGTGTTAAAAACATAACGTTTACTTCAGAATAAAAACTGCAAATTTTATGCAACCACACTGAAATGCACAGCATTGTGGTACAGCGCATTCCAGTGTAGGCAATCACACTGCATGCGGGAGGCATGTTTGGGGTGCCATTGAAATGAATGGCACCACAACGCATCTCCCGCAGCGAACACATATCGGCGTTCGCTTACCTCTCGATTCTGTCACAGCTCTCTGCCGTGACAGGGGAGGGGCTGGATTCCCCGCTCCGATCCTCCAGCGCTGACTAGTGGATCGGACGGGGGGGGGGGCGGGTACAGCTGGCTCTCCCTCTAGATAGGCAGAGCCAGCTGTCACTCACGCAGCTGGGCGGATCCAGACATAATTGTAGGGATCTGGTTCAGCTGCGGCGTCTCAGTATACCGTGAGTATACCGAGCTTAGGGTGACGGGAGGACACTAGTTTGTGTCCTCCAGTTACCCTAAGGAGAACTATGGGGAAAAGCCTTTACCCTATAGTTCTCCTTTAGGGCCTGTTCACACGACGTCCGTTTTGTGTGCTGACCGGCTCCGTACGCTGCTGCACTCAAAATGTATCCCTATGTGTTTTATGGGCTCCAGTTCTCACGTGCGCAGTCCGTTCAGCTTACGACAGAAAAAATACTACATGTCACATTTTGTCCGGTCAGGAAACGCAAACGCGTCAAAAACGCACTGCAGCTACTATACTAACAGCCCCACTGGGCCCTAAGGGCCTGTTCACATGAGATCAGGTCCTGATCAGGTGCGGATCTGCAGACTGATGCAGTGCGTTTTGGCCGCGTTTTTGATGCGTTCCAGTAAAAAAACATTTTTTTTGCTGGAGTGGGACTGTTAGTATGTTAGCTGCAGTGCAGTGCGTTTTTGATGCGTTTGCGTTTCCGGACCGGACAAAATGTGACATGCAGTATTTTTTCTGTCGTAAGCTGAACGGACTGCGCACGTGAGAACTGGAGCCCATAAAACACATAGGGATACATTGGGATGCATTTTGAGTGCAGCAGCGTACGGAGCCGGTCAGCACACAAAACGGACGTCTTGTGAACAGGCCCTTAAGGACCCAAAGTCCTCTATCTCTTTTTCTGTGTCCCCTGTTATCAATGAACAGGAATCCTCTGAGTGTTCCTGTTCATTCATAACATGAGGACATGGTATGTTTACTATAACTACAACTATGAATGAACAGGAGGGGATGTAGATCACTCCCATTCATTCATAATTGAGGATATAGTACAAATACCATATCCTCAATTATCTACAAACACTCACTGATCGCTGAGTGTTTGTAACGCTCTCCTCTCTGACACGCTGTCACAGGAGGCTGATCGACCGGTGTAGGGAGGAGAGCTCAGCCTCCTGTGACAGTGCGGCATGTCTCCGCCCACAAAAAATGGGGATAGAAGCGCTACTACCATAAGGAATTGGTTTTATGCAAAATTGGAGAAACTTACCTCAAAGTAATGGCTGATGCGATATCATCGACGAGGGGTGAATAGAAGGGGGACTTCCACTGGTGGGGATTGTGTACAATCAGTTGTGCTTGTGGGAAGGTCAGGGGGAATTGAGGGTTAAGGGGGTGCTGGATGGTGGTGGGAGCCTGTGTCCGATTAGTGTATGGAAGGGGGGTGACAGGCACGGGTGGACATAGGCTGTTGGATGATGTTGGGACTGAGGGGGGTAAGGTGCAGCTGGTGTGCACTGTGTTGCTGCTTGAGGATGATGGGCCTGGCGACTGAAAGTGACAGGTCAGTGTGGGCATATGTACGTTCCAGCCCCGTCACCCATCCCAACACATCCCACTCCAACCACATTGGACTTCCCGACCCCACTCCCAGTCCCGAATCACCAACACCCACTCCCCCCCACAACCCCTCCCCGGCCACCCAGTCCCTCACACCCGATGAAGCCCTCCGCCGAATTGATGATCACCTTACCGATCGTTGCCTAGAACCCACCCCCACCCACAACAAACCTTCCATCAACACCACACCACACACTTCAATCAATCCCTCTAGATGACCAAGCCCTATCCACCTCCACCGACCACGCTCCACACCTGAACACTCAGCATTCCACCAACACAGACACCACCCCATCTTCGTCACATCATTTTTTAGGATTAGGCCCCATGCGCCCCCCAAAAAGAAAAAAAACGAGAAGGGGAAGAAGAGGAGGAACACACTCAATACGCCACAAAAAGAGAAAAACAGTCCCCAAACAATCAACAGTAAAAATCTTCAACCTTTCCAACCACACCCTGACCCCCCATGAGGAAACTTTACTCAAAAAAGGCCTAAATTTCGCACCTGACATTAATCCCAACTCCTTCACCCTGTTCAAAGACCTCAACAAGTTCATCTGGAACCTTACCCTCAAAAGACACTACAACAAAACTACCCCCCCAGACGCCAAGACCACATCTCCCAGTGCCCCTACGCCCCCCCCGAGACCCGGCACCGGACGCCGACATCCTGGCCATCCTGGAAGAATTAGCAGATCCTGAATACCCAGCCGATCTCCTCCTAGAAAACCTATCCAGCCCAACTTATAGACACACCTCTCTCCACCCGCCTTCCAAATTCTACCCACTTAAATCCAAAGGAGCTCACATTGAAACGTTCTACCAAGTCACGTACACTGACTTCGTCAAATTATGTGATCGTCCACAACAAAAAAACGCAACACCAAAAGCAAATAGTCAGACTAAACGTTTGAACAAAACCAACCTATCCCATCATGAACGGAAAGCTCTCAAAAACCTGACCAACAATAAACTTATCTCCATCCGACAAGCGGATAAAGGCGGGGGTATTGTTATCCAAAAGCGCGACGACTACACAAAAGAGGCCCGCAGACTATTGTCTGACACCACCACCTACCAAAAACTAAAAACCGACCCACTACCCCAATTCCTGAACGCCCTGAAACCCCTGATCGAATCCGCATTCGACGAAAAGATCATCACCAAAAAAAGAGAAAGCAGTTCTATGCCCCCCACAACCCAAAACACCCTTCTTCTACCAACTACCCAAGATCCATAAAAATAGCACCGCACCCCCCCCGGGCGCCCCATCATTTCAAGCATCGACAGCCTCACCAGCGGCCTCTCCCGTTATGTAGACCACTTCCTACAGCCCATCGTCACTACCCTCCCCTCCTACCTGAGAGACTCTGGACACTTAATTGAAACACTACACCACTACTCTTGGGAGCCCACATACCACTGGGTCTCCCTTGATGTCTGCTCACTCTACACTTCCATTCCCCACCAAGTAGGCCTCCAGGCCCTGCAATATTACTTGTCCCATGAACCCGAGCTCCATCACAAACAAACCCAATTCATCCTCAACTCCACCAAGTTTACCCTTGAACACAATTACTTCACTTTCCTAGACGAATTTTACCTCCAAATCCAAGGCACAGCTATGGGGGCCAACTATGCCCCCAGCTACGCCAACCTAACCATGGGCTTCTGGGAGGACACAACAACCCCTTTGCCCGACACCTGATTTTCTACGGACGTTACATTGATGATATCATCATCATTTGGGACGGTCCCCCTGACACCATCAATGACTTCGTTACGCACTGCAACACCAACCCCTCAGGACTGAGTTTCACACACGTCACGGACAAATCCCAATTGGTCTTTTTAGACCTCGAACTTACCCACTCCGACACCGAGATAATCACCAAAACACACTTCAAACCCACAGCCGGCAACTCGTATCTCCATTACAAAAGTTGCCACCACCCTATCTGGAAGAGAAATGTCCCGAAAGTTGGGTTGTCCCAGGGGGTGATTGTGCCAGTTCTGTCCTCGGGTTTTATTCAAACCTGTTTACTGTGCCCAAGAAAGAGGGGGTGCGGCCCATCCTGGACCTCAAACGCTTGAACACCTTCGTGCGGGTCCGTCGGTTCCGGATGGAGTCGATCCGGTCCGTGGTTGCATGGCTCCATCATGGAGATCTGCTGGCCTCCATCGATATCCGGGATGCATACCTTCATGTACCCGTTTGCGAATCTCATCAGCGATATCTTCGTTTCGCGGTGTGGGAGGACCATTTTCAGTTTGTGGCGCTGCCCTTCGGGCTGGCGTCAGCCCCACGTGTGTTCACCAAGGTGCTAGCCCCGATCCTGGCGCTGTT